TTGTGTGATGTATAATGATCTGCCAGAAATTGAATGACATCGTCGGTGATTGAAGGTATCGTCAGCAAAAAATCAATTATCTAAATTTATATCCAGATTTCATTGATCTTATTTCAGAAAATATATTTCAGAAATATACGTTCTTACAATGATTTCAAGATGCAGTTTCAAAATTAGAAATGAAAAGTTTTAAAAATTTTTACAGTGCATTGTTTACAAGTATTAGCAACAGTGACCTTTCAGTAACTTGATGAATCTGGTACTTTGTTGTTTAGAAAGGTGCTAGATGGTAAAAGAGTAACACACTAAGAAATATATGTGCTATTTGTTAACTTCAGAAATTTTCCTTAAGAACTCTCTTTTTTAAAGAAATGAAGTATCTGAGTACAATTTTCAATAATAAAACAACAACAAACAAATTAATAAGAAATTAACAAAACTATATATTATTTTTAAAATCATTAGTGAATTATTTATTATTATTGTTAAGTCACTATAACAACAGAAAACTTATTGATTCAAAATCTATTGTAATATAATATTATATTATAATACAATATTTATGTTATAATTATATTACTAATAACTACTACTGCCAACCAAGGTGAAAATACCTAAATATTTATTTAAAAATTTAAACTATTTAAACATTTTTTTAGAGTATAAAGAAAGTTTACCCTTCTACACTAATAAAGATTTTCAGGTTTTACTTGAGCATTAATCAATTTTTGAAATGAGTAAAATATAAATAAAGCCTTAAAATTTTATCATTTTGAAACATCTTGGCTTCCAAAAAGGCTGCAAGCAATCACTAATTAGTGTTGAAAATTACTGGAAGAGAAAAGATGAATATTGTAGAGCAAGATTACGATTGACAGACAACTTAAAAAATTGCAAATTATATGAATCAGGAAAGCAAGATGAAGTAAGCGAATTCCAAAGAACTGATGTTCAAGGAAAAAAACTAGACGAATAAGAGTTTTTGGAGCACTTAGGAATAGTCACAGAAAAAGGATGATACTTAGTTATATGACGAGTAACATGAGAATGAATTTTAGTAAATGGCACAAGAGACACTAGCTCTTTAGAGCAGTGCCCATTATAGTATTTGTAGAAAAGAGAAAGAGAAGCAACATTACAACGATATGATAATGGTTGAAGGTTGGCTGCAAGAGCAGGTCCAACTATGTTTACAATGCGTTTTTGCACCTTTTCTAAAAGAGAAAGGGCATCATTGGAAGATCTGCCCCAGATATGGCAACAGTATTCCATACAAGGCGGAATTTGAGATTTATAGAGATAGAGAATAGAATCCAGAGTAAGAAAGTATGGAGCACGATTAAGAGATGCAACTTTAGCAGATGCTAATTTTGCAACCGATTTGATATATGGTTTCCAAGAAAGATCAGAAGTAAGAGTTAATCCTAGAAGATGAAGGGTAGATGACTCATTGAGTACATTGCCGTTCATAAATATAGGAAGGTCTAAATTATTGCGATAACGATTGGCTGAAAAAAATTGAGTTTTATCTGAATTAAAGTTCACCAGCCATTAAAATTTCATAAGATTAAAGTTCACCAGCCATTAATATTTCATAAAATGAATTAGACATTTGGAATAAACTTTTATAGAATGAAGTAGTTTGAAATAAATAAAAAAATAAAAAATAAAACGTTAACAAAGAAACAGATTCGTTTGGTTTTATTGTTAATTTACTTGATAAATGGACTGTTAATTTACTTGTTAAAGGGTTAATTTACTTGTTGAAGGGATAAGAGCTGAGCTCAACTTTTTTTTCAAAAAAAGTTGAACCAAAAAAACATTTTGGTTCAACTTTTTTTGTTTAAAAGTAAATAAATTCATATCAACAAAAAGCTAAAATTGTTGTTTTAGTCGAAGCTCGCCTTCCTCATTTTACTTTGATATCAGAGTCTTTATAATATATTTTGTATTTTACAGACTTGATAATTTATTTCATGCGTTTTATGAGACATTAGTGTACATTTTTTAAAGATTTTTTTTTTTAAAGATAAGTTTTTCTTTCTTCCACAATCAGCAAATAATATTTACTTGTATAACTTTTGACTAATTTCCCAAAAATATTTGTAATACATTTAAGAATAAGATAATATATTTGATTTTTCAGAATTTATTAGCACAAGTTGTCTTTAGCAATCGTAAGTATAATTCTTTAACAAGATTTTGATATTAAAAAACACTTTCACATCTTAACAAAATATATATGTAACATCTTAACAAAATATATATATAACAATTATCATTTCACATCTTAACAAAATATATATATAACAAAATATCCAATGATTAAATTTTTTTTAATACCGCGTACATAAGTTTTAAATTTTTTATGTTACTGTTATTTTATATTACCTGTAGCAATATTTATTTTAACAGAACAAAGGCAATCTTTTTCATATGGCATAGCTTTACAGTATCCACATTTACATCATTGTTCAACGCTAACATTCAAACAATTTAATTTTGAAGTTTTAGCCGTATCAAAACTCAAATTTTCATAGCTGATACCATCTTCAACTATTTGATTTGTTATATTCTTACAGGTTTTTTTTTTTGTCTTTTTTAAAGAGGTTGTAATTAATATGAAGTTACTGTCACTTTTAGTTATCAAAATTGGAAAATATAACATGACTATTTTTTATCGATAACAAAATTTAGCAATTTATATTAACATAAATAATTATTAATAAAAAAAATTAACAGTCAAATTTCCCTTATAAATACTGTCATTTATCCAAGTAAATTATTATTCAAAACATCATTTCAATAGGAAGTAAAAACTCATAGCAATAAATAACCTACATATAATTAGAAAAAAATCTCATTGTTTTCAAATCTCAAAACAAAAATAAAAGAATTCAGAATATATAATATAGCAACCAACATGTTCTTTTTTATGTAGGAGTTCGTCATAAAAAATTTTAATTTTATTTAGCTCTCTCACAAATTAGGAGGACATTGATCACCTTAATAATAACATTCTATAAAAAGTAAATATAACATTTTATAATACTTCTACTAAAATCATAAAATCAATAAAAAACAATTATTAAAAAAAAAAAAAAAATTTAAAAGATAAATAATTGAATAATTATCCTGATGATGAAAGTTGCACTACAAAAATCTAAAAACAAATTATATTATTTTAATTTTAATTGTATTAAGAATATTTTTTTGGATTTAGTGAAAAATTATACAAATAAATATGATTTACTGATTGTGGAAAAAATATGCAACGACTTTATATGCTGAAATAAATGATCAAAGTTGCAGATTCGGTGTATATTATAAAGACTTCAAGAACCAAAGCAAAATGGAAGTGAGCTTCACTTAAAGTTACAATTTAAAATTTTAACCCAAATATTTTAAAAAAAATATTTTTTTTGTCTTGGCACTTTAAGACATTAATGTCTCATTATTGATTTATTTGTAATGCAGATCAAAAGAACACCACAAAAAGAGTTATGAAAATCTAAAACACACAAAAAAAAGTAAAAAAAAGTAGCTTTATGAACTCCAGTGGCCCCCCTCAGCCTTTAGGGGTAAATGTATAAAAGAACAAACAAATAAAAACAACAAAAACAAAATAAAAACCAATGGCAACAACAAGTAAACTGTTAACTATGCTACAGGCTAAACATTTTAACATTGTTAACTATGCTACAGGCTGAACATTTTAACATTGTTGTCTGATTTAAAACAAACAGATTAAGTTAAAATGACATACTTTTGTTAAGAATAATAAACAAATTTTTGTTTTGTTTATTATTCTTCACCTTTATTGTGTGTGTTAGGGTCAGGGTTGGGGTTAAATATATATTTATATTTGTATTTAGTAAAAATAGGCAAACTTTACACATTTGTATTATATTGCAGTTAAATGAAAAAAATATTTGAATTTGTATTTGATTGAAATTATTTGCAATTCCATAAGTTAGGTTAACCGGTGTTTTTTTAAATAATAAACCAAAATAAAGAAATACCAAGTGGTTGGTTAGTCTTTTTTTTTCATTTTTAACACTTAAATAAATTATAAATTTGTTTTTAAGAGATATTTGTTAAAAGATTTGTTTTCTTTCTTCTATTTAGTAGACCATTTTATCAGTATTGTCTTTAAAAAATCTTTACTTTTTTTCTTAACCTAAAGTACAAATATTTGTATTTGCATTTGGAAATCTAGATTTAACATATTTGTATTTGATCAAATGTATTTGACTGCAAACCTGGTTAGGGCAGTTCAAAAAACAACATTTTAAAAAAATATCATGTCATCAGATATTTTATTATATAGTACTATGTATGATAATCAGTACTATGTATGATAAGGACTATGTATGGTAAAATAATACTGGATTAAAAAAATTTTAATTAAAAAAATAACAATCATTTATTAAAAACATCAACAACAACTAAAATAAAAATTATAATCATAAAATCTCATTAAAATATACTTTTTTATTTGTATTTTAAAAAGGTCATTTTCTATGCAGTAAAATTTAAGATAACTTTTTTATAAAACAATGATTATTTTTGAAACTTTTGTTTCATTTGAGACCCATTAAGATATACTTTTAAATGACATAACAACAAGACATACTTTTAAAACTTTACCTGATGATATTAGGAACCTGTTAAATGTTTAATGGTTCTGAGCAATCCCTTAAAAAATTTTTATTACTTTGTTTTATAGAATTTTTTAAACCAACATTTGTGATTAAAACTATCAATAAATGTTAAAATAAATTTAATATAATGATTTTGTCAAGATAAAAGACAATAACAAACAAATCATGGTTATTACAGATATTTTAGGTTAAAATTTATAGAGTTACTTTTTCTGATATCATTTATTACACATGTGTTATTTACTTGCATATTACTAATATTTTTTGTGATTTTATTTTTTTATAAAGTTTAAAAATCTATTTAATTAATTTAAAGACCTATATAATCAAACTAACCTTGTCTAATGCACTCAACATATCAAGGCGCATTCTATTGTCATAGAATATTGTTGCATAGCTAAAAAAGTAAAAAAAGGCAACAATATTTCATGAATTCAATAAAGCAATGAAGAAGATAGAAAGTTACTTTTCCGCAATTTTTCGTGGTATTCCAGCCTCACGAAAGAAACTTTCCCAATTTGATTGAGAAGACACTAAAAAAAAAAAATTTCAAATATAATCAAATATTTTAAATATAATTAAATTTAAAAAAATTAATAATAATAAAGATAAAAGAACAAAATTAGACAGCTTTAAATTTTAGTTTCATTTTCAGTCTAATTGGGTTTTTGATTAACAAATTAGAAAGCATTTAAATATTTGGCATTCCAATATATATATATATATATATATATATATATATATATATATACATATATATATATATATATATATATATATATATATATATATATATATATATATATATATATATATATATACATATATATATATATATATATATATATTTATATATATATATATAAATATATATATTCATATATATATATATATATATATATATATAAATATATATATTCATATATATATATATATATATATATATATATATATATATATATATATATATATATATATATATATATATATATATATATATATATATATATATATATATATATATATATATATATATATATATATATATATATATATATATATATATATATATGTATACTACCACACATATATCCTTTAACTACACTAAAGTCTCCAAAATTGGATCAAAAAAGAAAATTGCATATATAATATTAAGACTTCTAAAAAAATAAATTAAAAAAATTTTTCTTTTGTAAAGAATGAACCATTATTAAAAAATGTTTTATTGCTATTGGTGGAAACTAGCAAAAAACATTACTTTATTGCTAGTAATATATAATACTCAAGACTTGCTTGAACTAATTAAGGATTAATTAAGTGTTGTGCAAGTGTTAGTGAGAAATATCTTAAAAAAATCAAAAGTTGTAATTTTTTCTCTATATTTAGCATTAAAAGTAAAATGCCTAAAAAAAGGCACGATTGCAATGGGATGCCAAGTAATGTGGATACCAAGTTGTTGGAAATTTTAGAAATTGGTGGCAGTGACTCAATTTTAATAACTGCTAGTATAAAGAGTTCAATTAGATAACTTATTTTGTTGAATAAATACCTAATACTAAATTAAAAAATTAGTTTCTGTCACAGCTGACAGTGCATTTTTGGTGAAAAATACATATATCTACATGAATAAAAACTACACAGGGTTCGATTTAAGCATATTGTGATCACTATTGCTTTTAACACCTTCGCAATTAGTTTTTTTTTTTTTTTTTTTAATTTTTATAATTTTTTTTTTTGGTGGTTATTTTTTTACTTTTTAGCATTTTTTAGCTTAGCATTTTATCTTAGCATTTTAGTATTTTTTTTGGCAATTTTTAAAAGTAATGTTTTTGTTTAAGTTTTTTTATTAGGGTTAATAAAGTATGCCACGCTAAATTTATCTTTTGAATAGAAGCATGATTGCTCTTTCACGCTGAGATTTTCATTCAACATAAAGCACTCTTGAATTTAAATTTCTTTAAATCTCTGCGTGGAACCAAATAACATTTTAAAAGGTCGAAAGGTTAAAGCGTAAAGTTTTAAAGGGAAAAGTCATTAAACCTTCATTCTTTTTTTTTTTTAACAAAACAGCCAGATTTTTATCTTTGTTTTTAAAATGTTGCACCAAATTAACTAATTATCAATAATTTGAACTAATATTTTATCGACAACTTTATATTATTAGTTTTACTACTTTAAGTATATTAAAATATATATTAAACTTGTTTTTATTAAAAAATGCAATGCTAATAGAAACCAGTAAATTTTTTGCTTCAACGTAAGTTGAACAGTAAGTTTTTTTCTACAAAAAATAAAAATTATTTTTCTTCTGTTCAAGGAAATTTTTTTCCAAAAAAAGAATTTAAACATATACTTAAACTTAGTGAAATATAAATTTTTAAACCAAGTTTTTTTCTCACTTTTTATTGCAAAACAATTTGAACAAAAAAATTGAATGAAAACATTAACTTAAAAACCATTTGAATGAAAAAATTATTTATACTTAAATTTTTAATAGTACATTTATTATTCTAAGATTTTTAATAGTAATAGCAATAAATTATAAAAACCTGGTATCTGATGTTTTTTTGGTTTGACCTTACTCATTTGGTCTACAGATATGATGCTTATGCATTTTTTTAAATTAAAATTTCTATTTATTTAATTCGTTTTATTTTGAACGCGTTTTGTGATATTAATGTTATAAAAACTTAACTTTATAAAACAGCAACACGAACAGCGTCATGAAGTTGTTTTATATTAACACGAGCTCTAAACTTTGCAAATTGTTTTTTTATCGTTTTACAGTTTTTTACAATAACAATTCAATACTCTTTAAAAATAACGTATTTTATCATCAGCATGAATATATTACCAAAAGGAATATCATACTAATAGTAATATCATAAATTAAAAACTTATTACATCATAACTTGTTCATTACACTTAAGTAAAACTTAAAGCTGTAAATTATAACAGTAAACTACTCTACTTTAAACTCCGCCAAACAAGAAAATTAAATTGATAATATTTAAATATGAGAGATATTATGTTAAATAAAGTACAATTACGAACTAATATTGAAGCGGTGCCAGAGATGTAGGGGGTTGTTTTTTTTTTTTTTTTTAGATTAGATTTTTTTGCATTAATTCAAACTCTGCTACATATAGGAATTGTAGGGTATCACTTTAGAACTAGTGAAATAGATTATTACTATTTATTTAATTTTGATTGGTTTTTAATTTAAAAAAAGTAACTTTCTTAATTGCAGTGGCCCCTTTGAAAAGAAAGCTATAATACAGAACAACAACAAAAATGGTTAGAAGTATCTAGAGTGATACCTTTTTAAAATAGCAATTAAGACAATTATTCTCTTGATAAAAACTCAAATATTAAGATGATGAAATGCAAACTCTAAATCTAATAACTTTGTAAAATAAATTCATATAATAATTATATGAATTTAAAATTATACAATAAATTCATAGTAGTGTAGAATATATTGTACAAGTCAAAAATTTTTAATGTACATTAAAAACTCCTGGCTTGTAAGGTAAAGCAGGGTTACTTTGATATGTGGGTAGCATTGACATGTATTAGATTAAATATTTTTAACAGTCACCCGTTGGTTATTATTTAAATTATTTTAACAGATGTTGTAACATAATAGCAACTGTAAATAACAACACAATACAGAGGGTATAAATTAAACTAATTTCTAGTTTTTTTGTTGCTAAAAAACTGTAGTCTAAAGAAAAGTAAAACCATATTATAATACCATTTTACATGTGTTTTTATGATGCTGTTTTTAAATAATAAGCATTTAAAATTTTTTTGTAGCATTTTTTTTTCAAAACACTTATTTCAGTTTTGGGGCTACATTGATGGGAATACTTAAGTCACCTCATGGGCCAAGAATTAAGCAAAAGTTGGTGAAATGTCTAACATCTTTCACAATTACATGAAATGGAATCAAACAAAGTAAACCCTAATTAAAAGAATAATTCTAAAAAAAAAATCTACCAATACATCAAATGTCAACAGATCTAAAAATCGACACTTGCAAAAAGTTAAAATCCACACCTAACAATGTTGCATAGTATTGGTAAGAACAAACATCAAAACCTAAAGATGTAAAAAATTATCTTGTTGTTTCTGAATCACTAAAAAAGTTGTAACAAAGAAATCCAACAAATAATTACAGTGCTGTGGGATTTCGTCATAATCAAATATAGAGTCATTAATGCAGGTAGTTGGTAAAATTCGAACTACAAACCGGTAAAATGCAAACTTTTTTGCGACCCATAGTTCTATTGGTTGTTCATGATGTAATACTTTTTATTTTCCATTTACAGATAAATTGTTTATTTTACTATATATTTTATGGATATATTATTTTCAAGCAGAAACATAAATTACATTTAATTTAAAAGAAATACAATCTAATTTAAATAAAATATACTAAATTACACTATATTTAATTTAAACTGAAAAATTGACAAGCAAAAGTTTTTTTTTAAATATAATCGTAGTGGTCATTAAAATATAATGTCTTGGTTGGCAAAAAAGTTTGCATTTTACCGGTTCCCAGTTTGCATTTTACCGACTACCATTAATGCAATGTAGAGTTTAATAGTTTGAGAATTCTTAGAGAAAAAATTTTTAATCATAAATTAACATACTTTATTATATTTTTAAGTTTACACTATCAAAACTGAAGTTAATTGATATCTTTCAAAAAATAATATAAAATTACATTAAAATTAAAGTTGTAAAATTACATTTTCATTGTAATTTTACAACTTTAATGCTGCTGATTTTTAAAATGAAAATGTAGGTTGGTGCTAATATACATTAAAAATGTTATCTCTATTTTGTTAATATTCAATGATAATGTTACTGCTCATGATGTAACTTTAACATTTACAGAATAAAACATACTACTGTCAATATTACATGTATCACACAGGCATTTTAATGTAGGGACAATATATACTTGTTACATTGAAATTATACAAATATATTTCACAAACAGATAGCAATTTATATATTTGCTTTTCTCTTTAAAAAAAAACAAACAAATAAAATATAGGAAAATCATTCTTTTTAATGTTGACTTAAAACTTATTATTTATTTTTTTTGCTATGTCTTAACCAAACTCATTGCTGAAAATAACAACCACTCTAAAGAAACAAAAATAAAAACAGTACACAAATTATCTAAACTATTATTATTATTATTTTTTTTCTATTTAAATTTATTTTATTTTCCAATTTTGTGAGTTTTGCTTTCATTGTTTTTAAAACTTAGCTTTTCCCACAACGCCTAATATAATAAAACTTGCAAACAGCCGTGACTTAATTGTCTAAAATATAATATTCATGTGTGGACATACAAGACGAAAAACAGCATGCATTTTCTGGGAAGGCTTGAAACCTCGTAATTTATGCTACCAATTGCTAAGGTATCCATTATCCTGGTTTTTTATGTAGAACACAATGGAAATTTTAATCGTTTTGCACTGCACTTTTCTATATGAAAACTGAGACAATG